TCATACTGGTGCCGAAGGCCAGCTTTCCCAATCATTTTGATTCACTGTGTATCTGATTTTTTTTTAATTTTTTTTTTTTTTGGTCTAGAGAGGATTATTGCCACAGTATATTTTATTTATTCATTAGATTTTAGCCTTGTAAGTTAAAGTGTTCTAAATGATGATGTTAACAGGTATTTGTCCCTTTACTGGTTTTTTTGGGGTTGTTAAAAGATAGGGAATGAAGAATGCAAAATGGTTTATTGTTCAGACTGTCCGCTCTGGTCCAACCCTGTACTGATAGTACCTTCCCAGTATGATATTGTGATGTTTCATACAATACAGTGAACATAACCAACTTGTTATCTTCAATAAAGGATTGCTAAAACAGTGTGATGCGCTTTATATGTCCTCGAGAAGGATTTATCAAGAGGATACAAGTGTTCTATGTAAAAAGATAATCAAGTGGGATTCGGTGATGTACAGTGGTAGGACAAGGGGTAATGGGTGCAAGCAGGAATACAAGAGGTTCCGCTTAAACTTGAGAAGAAACTTCTTTATTGTGAGGGTGACAGAGCCCTGGAACAGGCTGCCCAGGGAGGTTGTGGAGTCTCCTCTGGAGACGTTCAAAACCCGCCTGGACGCCTTCCTGTGTGATCTCATTTAGGATCCTGCTCCAGCAGGGGGATTGGACTAGATGATCTTTTGAGGTCCCTTCCAATCCCTAACATTCTGTGATTTATGGGATGTCTCTTAGTGATGGATTTGTGTTTGTTCTGTAGTGAACGTGGCTTTTTGTCACAATAAGCCAGAAGTCTCCAAGTGGGCTTCTCTGTGAGGGGCAGAAGAGTGCAAACAACATCTAGAGCTCCTAGGGCAAATCCATCCCAAGTTCACCTGGAATGAGTCTTATTCCACCTATGGGAAAGCTTTTGTCTAAAGTTTAAAAATTCAGATTAAACTTGAATTTTTAGTCAACTCAAAGACCTGAGGTTAGACCTATGAAATTTTCCTTTTGTACATACAGTGTACAGCACTTTCTCTAATGTTAGCATTCTTACATTAAAACTTTAGCCAATATATTTTTTTTTAAATCTGTTAATGAAGTTGTTTAGCTGGGTGGGAAAGGAGAGCAAAATCCTGTGTTACTGACTGCATGGTAATAGCCTGTCTGAATACTTAGTGTTACTGTGGAATAGGTGTATTTATGAACAATATGTAGATTTTTAAGTCTGTAAGTTCTTTGAACTTTTTTGTTGGATCTGCTTGTACAGCATAACCTCTGCCTGCTTTCCTCGTGAACTGCAATCTTAATACTTTGTTCTACTGGTAAGAGTTCTTTTACTCTATAGGCTCCGGTCCTATGAACGCTTACAGTTGTAGGTTCTTTTACATTGTGTGGATTGTCTCCCTGAAATAAAAGGATTTACGTGAAGCATGCACATAAATTTTTCAAAGGGAAGGACTATAGCTTGCGCAGCTACAACAAAATGTAAATCTTTTTCCTCTAAAGTAACACTACTTTCCATTCGAGCATCCGCTGAGTTCCAAATTCCCATCGTGTTTTATTTTAATCAAAATACTGTTCAGTTTTGAGCAGCCTGAGAAGAAACCCTATGCTTTTTTACTTTATATTCTTGATGTGAGAAGTCTGGATGTTTGATAAAATTTGTTCATGTATTTGCCCTGATTTGTCAATTTTAACATTTGTTTTAAAATTATCTTCTCATAATTATGTTACCACCCAGTAACTAACAGGAAGATACTTCTGTAGAACGCTGAGAGTGGGGAGTGTCTCTTCCACCTCAGGTCTCCCTGACATGTCAAATTCAGCTCAGTTTTTCTCTTTTCTTCATTTTTATGACTTACTCTGTAACAGAGACAAAGTAGTGTGTGTCAGTTCTCAAATCTGCTCTCTGATAATCTTTAGCAAAATAAAGATTTGCTTTAACAATAGGAATTCAAGATCAGTTACAGCATTGAATGAAGGGTTCAGTGAGGGCAATTTTTACTTCTGGAAGATGATGCAAAAACCAGTGCTGCCTAACATTATAAATAAGGTCTATTCTGTTAAAAAAGCCACAGTGCCAAGCAGTCTTTATCAACTAATTTAGGTTTTGTTGGGCTAAAAGACAAGTTTTAGATTTCAGGATTCTCTCCTGAAGGCATGTTACTTTTAGCTCTTTATAGCTGTTTTTTAGCTCTAAAATAAAAAATTAATCAGAGGGACATAGATCCACTGGTGTAGGTGAGGAACTGCA